TAAAACTAAAGGCTCACGAGCCCAAAGGTCGAGATGCCCTAAAACTAAAGGCCACGAGCCCGACAAAGTACTTTATAGTACATATAAAAATACCGAACTCTGAAGTAGTTCGGAAGGCCACGAGCCCGACAAAGTACTTTATTGTACATATAAAAATAAAAATAATGAACTCTGAAGTATTTCAGGAAGGCCGAAGACCGGATGACAAATTATCTGACCAGGTCAACATAAAGTAACAAAACAATCACAGAAATCAATTTTCGAGTCGCCCCAATGCGACAAAGAGCCACAAATACGGCTAACTTAGAACCGACAAGCGAATCATATCAGCAAGCATCTTTGTGCGAATCGCTAAAAATTCAAAGGGCCCGAGTGCAAACACAAATCTAATCCATTGCAACAACAAGATTAAACAAGCACATCATATGGCACGAACGTAAAAACGGGTACCGAATTACCTTAGTAGGCCATTTAGGCCTCATTCAATAGTAATTCCAACTAACGCAAATTCATCAGGTCAAAGCCTAAGAAAAGAAATCAACAAAGCGTACAAGGGTCGCAAAGCACCCAGAGATTACATATTAACGCGTATCCATTCGATAAACGCCATTAAAACAAAATGCGATCTTACCTATCACAAAGTGCATGGCATAAAGAGCCTCAAGCTCGAATAATTACATGCAAAAAACTGCCAAATCGTATAATAACACGACTTCAGAACAAGTTCTATTAAGAACGTGTCCAAAACTCGGGGGCCTCTTGTTGGTACCCAATTTGGCTACGACTAAATAAAAATACAACACATTAAAATATCAATTTTATTATTTTACTCCATATTAATTGATGTCCATATATTGTGATGTGATGTGTATATATACTTGAAGATCCAAAAGAATCCAGGAGGATCTCACCCTATCCAATAAAATCTCCCAAAAGGGATATGATAAAAAGGAAGCAAGCTCGTAAGAGGGAAGGGGAGAGGCATTATTTTTCCCCAAGAGCATTATCAATAAAAAACTTCATCTTCTTCATCTTTTTGTTTTTCTTGCCTTTCGTATAGTTAAAATGTATGTATTCTTCACACCGAAAGTCACGAATAGAAGAGGGATCCAACCGATAATTTCGACACACAATCTATTCGTGCAGATTGAACGGAGTATACAATTTAGTATACGGTTCACCCCCTGTTGCTGACATTTTTTAGCATCAACAATTAGCCCTGTTTCAAATTGATAATTAAAATTTAAAAATTTCGTATTATATGGCTACTACTTTCTTTAGTTCGGAGTTTTTTAACATAAAATAGAGTTAGATAATATTAATTTGAAATTCAAAATGAAATCGGATTGGAACATCCTAAAAAATTGAGTTTTGTTTAATCCTTTATAATACAAATTTGAAATTGATTGCATACACGTACACAATTTTTTCCTTCATTAAATTAAGTATTTACAGTTTTAAAATAATAAGGATATATATTTTCAAGAAAGACGTTTTACAATCTCTATTATATTTGACTATGCAATTTTTATAAAACCAGTATAAATTATATCATATATATTCTGCTAAATAATTTAATTGATTCATTTAAGCCTATTTAGAATCCTAATATATATGGGTGGCAAGTGTTTATTTTATTAAATAGGGTTTACACAGAGGTAGGTTGTTTTCTGTTTAATAATATATACGTTACATTATGTTTTATTCGTTTTTACGTTCTTCCAATCATCCAATCATCCAAATATAAATGTTTACCTTAATAAAACCAGCTCATGCATCACACGGGTACCAAACTTGTTTTGTTATCAATTTAACTAAAAAAATCTAATGACTTCGACCATAAAAAAATCCAGTCTTCTATAAGTATTTGAAACCATAAGTTACATAATATCGTGATACTTTCACTTGATTCAGGCCAACAGAAAATGAAGATGAAAAATTTTCCATTTAGAGAGAAAAGACATCAATGTGAAAAGCACCAAGTTGCTTGCATCATATAGAATAGAGGCAGTTCAAAACAAAAGCATCATTAAAAATGTCAGCCAAACAAGACATATTTGAGATGAAAAACAAAAAATAATACATCAAGAAAGGGAAAAGAGACTCTGGAGATTCTTCTCTCCACATATATATGTGCCTATTTGTGTATACCATTTTAGTGAAATAAGTTGATATTATTGAAAATATATCAACTAACCTCAAGTTTTTGGACAAGCTCTTTGGGATTAGGTGCAGAAACAAAGATGTGGCGCTCCGAAGGCTTTATGAAGC